CGGCCTACCCGCGCCGAAGCGAGCAGATCACGCGATCAGCGATCGGTGCCTCTCGGGCGGAGTCTCCTGTGTTGTGCTGTGAGCGTCGCAAACGTGTCGTAATGAATTTACATTAATTATTCTAGCGGGCTGGCTTGCTTTGGGTGGCTGGTTTGCTTAGCGCGAGTGAGACAGCTGTGTTGGCCGGGCATCAGGTTCAGGCACATCACCCGTGCCCCAGACGATCAACAGACAGCGTTCCCCCACGTGTTTCGAGCTTTATATCATGAGTTCATCCCATACATAGTGCGCACTCTCTACGGGTTACAGCGGGTGACACGCCCAAAGGGTCAAGTTAATTTCCTGAGGCCGGGGACCCAGCCATTGCGGGTTGGGCAGTCGGGTGTGCAGCAGGCAGCATCCCTCCCTGGAAAAGCAGTTGGGGTATCTCTGTCCATACTTGGAGTCATATCAGGAAACTTTGTTCAATACTGTCACTAAGAATGAAGCCTACACTTCATGTCTGGGACGCCTTTTCAAATTTGGCACCATCACAGCGACATGGTCCCTGCCAAAACACATGTATTTCCACTATCGCGCACGGGCTGATAAACAAACAATAGTTATTGCTGACAACCCGTTCCACGCGGACACGGACGCCTGAGTGTTGAGAGGTGCGGGCTGGGCTCTTCCAGCAAGGGTGCCTGCTCGAGCGTCCATTTGCATCTATGGGTGCACCGAACTCATTCGATCTTATGAGGGATATGCAATGACAATGCTGAGCAGCGGGCGCTGATGGGCCGCGCGGCAGCCGCCACCACAGATCAGCACCAGCAGGCGGACCTTGCCTGCCGGTCTTGGCTCCATCGGCCACTGCTTGATGTCTGTACCACTATGGGTTGGCCTTTCACATATGATTTGTGGGTGAACCTCACATTCGTGGTCTGCATGTCGATGCACTCAGGCGGCGCAACATCAGATGTTCAACAATTCCCGCTCCACCCCGCCTGCTACCTTCCCCATCTGCCCCAGTGCCGCCCCTGCAACAAGAGCTCTGCAAGTTGCGGATTACTCGCTCGTGCCTGCCAAGCACAACCACAACTGGAGGAATTCCCCATGCGAGCAACATGCATCCCGGTCCGGCGGTCACACCGGCCGCCCGCGTGTGCCTCCTTCAAGGTGCGTAGTAGAGCAGCTGTGATGCGGCTGGTGCTTAATCGATTGCTTTCATGACAAGGGGCAGGTACAAGCAGGTTGTCCAGCTGCGCCAGGCATCACCTGCGTGCCTTGAACTCCCGCTTCCCGCGAATGCCAACACTACACGTTACGGCCGCTGGCCATCCTCGACCCGCGCGTGTCCAACCGGCGCAGGTATGTGATGGCATCCGCGCTGATCTGACTATCAAGACTAAAGGAGAGCGGCATAGGCGGGCGCAGCGCAAGGCCGCCTGGGTTTGTCCCCTGGCCGTGGCACCCCGCTCTTGCGACTCGGACACACGTGACTGCAAGGCACTTTCCAGTGTGCTGTTCCTCAGTATGCATGGCAATTTCCAGTTGACTGTTTCCCCGCCTGTGCTTTGCTCGCCAGGGAGTTGCGACCGTGACTTGACGCAGCGAGTGGTCTTGTTCTTGGTCCCCCCTCCATTTTTTGAATCCTCGTTGTTTCCTTGCGCGTGCTCAATGCGTGAGCTGTTCGGGGGTTCTGTGATGAGTGCTCGTCCAAGTAAGAAAAGAGCACTATCCGCTTCTCATGTCATAACGCTGAGGGCCACAAGCAGGCGGCATGTGCAGGTGGAGCAGCAGCAGCAGCAGCAGCAGCGCCGCAGTATCACTAGTAGCAGCTGCAGCGCCCTGCTTGTGCCCGCTTGTCACAAGCCCGCCTGTTTCCGCTTGTCACAGGCGCAGGAACAAGCGAAAGACAAGCCGGGCTTGTTTCCCGCCCGTGACAAGCGAGCCCACAAGCCCGCTTGTCTTTTCCAACGCGACAAGCGGGCCCGAGCACAAGCGGCCTTGTTCTCTCGCCACAAGCGATACAAGCGAAGGACAAGCCGCTGCCCTTAGTTACCGACGAGAGTGGTCACCACCGTAGACACCGCACACGGCAGGTGTGGCACGGACAAGTGTTAATCTTATATAATTTTGATGTTGCCGCGCGCCTCCCGGTGATTGTTTCGCGGTCGCGCTGGGTGTCGGGTAGTCATACTGGGCGCTGTATGGGGTGCCTAGCCAAGCCTACTCCTACTCACCTACTCCTGGGTTGGCAGCTGCACAGGAGCCTGCGCGTACGCTCAATGACTTGCAAAATACATACCTTTTACTTTTTCGCGATCGGGGGCGGCAGTGGCCCACGGCCGCTACCCGCGGGTGACTCGGATCGGGACAGCGGCCAGCCGCGTGAATACCACATAAAAGCCTTGAAGTGATCAGAGTATGCATCAATCCCCTGCAACGCTGCAAAGCCTTGCGCTGCCCACCCAAGAACCCGAGGCCCTGCAGCGCACCACACCTTGAAGCGGCTCGGGGGGCGTGGGCGTGGCACCGTCCTTCCGCGGGTCCCAGGGACACGTCTTGCCGCACTTCCGCCACATCCCTCTGGGGTCAAACAATGCTGGTACCACCTTCCCACCGGCTGAGGTTTGCAGGACTTGGGTGATCAGGGAGCCGACGTTTGCTGTGCTGTCGTCACAAAACAGCCAAGTGTTTGGCTGCTTGGGGGCGGGCAACGCGCGGCGTGCCGCCGCGTGGGGCAGCGGGCTCTCGAAGCAGGCCGCCCTGTCCGCAGGGGCGGCCGCGCCGCCCGCGTCACCTGCCGGTGGTGCTGCCATAATGCCGCCAGGCGGGGTCCACCAACCCGGCACCTGCTTTGGGTCCAGCATGTGCGCCAGTGTGTCGCGGGTGATAAGCAGGGCAAATGCGTCATTGCCGCACAACTGGATGCTGGGCGCGTCCACTGATGTCAGCAGCTGCCCCAGGTCCATCAGGCCGGATGCGGCGGCCATGCTGGCCGCACCTGCTGAGGCGACATTATTTCGGAGGAAAGAAGAAGAGGATCATGAGCAGCAAAGGGGGCCTCTGAGTACATGTCACGATTCAGCACGGACGAGCCGCAAAACTTCTGCAGGGCAGCGTAGATGCCGCATCGGCCGCGGCCATGACCTGGGTAGGACATGTGGGCTGGCCACAGCTCTCTGCGGCAGCGCGTCTCCACCCATGTGGACCCCAGTGTCGTATTGGCACCCACGCCCCCCAAAAGGACACACAACAAAACAGAATACTCATCACCTCTTCGCCTGCCAGACGATGAGCTCTTTCTACAAGGCTGGGGTGGATGCAGCAGGAGCGCCAGCAGCTGCTGTGCAAGCAGGAAGCAGGCAGGGCTCTGGAGCGAGACAGCGAGAACCGATGGTCGTAAGACCCAAATATATGTTTCTGATCATGTATACACGCGTTCAGACATTTTAAGGCAGTGTTTGACAGCAGCCTGTCCAGGTGCGGGGCCCGACAGTGACGCTCGGTCTGCAGCTGTCAATCGCACCGCGAAGCCCGAATTATTACACGTTTACATGTTTGATGGTCATTTGCACAGCCACGACGCGCCCGGACCCCGCCAGCCCAGGAGTAGGTGAGTAGGAGTAGGCTAGGCACCCCATACCTGGGCGCTTGGCAGTGATAAACTACCAATACGCAGTGCATCTTCACGCAGCAGTGCAGTTTTTGCCGAATCGTGCGTCGGGTGGAGTTTGGCACTACTGCCACAGTGGTGCTTCACTGCAGCGCGCGCGTTTGTCAGCAGGCGCGCTTGAGCGAGAGCCCCATTCTCTTCCTCTCTTGCACGCTTGCCTGCGATGTTTAAGTGGATTTTCTGAGGCCCTGCATCATGCAACATGCCGTATTCTAACGACAGGTTGGCAGCCCCGAGCCCTGGCTGCCTCTTGTTGCGGTTGGTTGCGCCCAACATTGCTGTTCCGCATGCAGTTGGGGATAGATGCAGTGTGCACAAGAGGCACACACACGAAATTCTGGCAGACTCTTGGCACAGACAGCTCGGTTTTGCGATGCACTGTGGTTTTGAGCGCGTAAGATGTTGTGGTGCAGCTTGAATCTGCACACGAGCGTGTGTTGCATCGCAGCGCTGCATCTGGCTGTCTCCTCAAGTGTTCTGCGGACATTTCGAGTATGGTGGCGATGTGGGTACACCCGGCAGTGTCAGCGTGTGCAGCAGCTGCATCAGCTGCCGCAGCCGCAGCCGCCCCATCACTGGGCAGGGTCACAGTAGCAAGTGCAGTAGCATCGGCAGCAGCGGTGCAGCAGCAGTCACCTCCTTGGCCCATGCAGCAAATCAGTGGGTGCGCCCGCGCCCGTGCAAATGTACTGTGGTTGATTCTTGAGACATTGAGGCATCGGAGGCCTATGGCGAACGGACCGGGATCCGGATCGGGGGGCTGACCAGGTGGTTGGCT